AGTAAGTAGTATTATACTATTCCTTTATTTTAGTATATTTATAGATTTTATATATCTTTAAAAGATATCTCGTTAATAAACTATAATTATCGCGGTATTTAAGTAGCGTACTATAATCGGGTTCTAATAATATAACTTAGTCGTTTAGGTAGCGTTAATCGATTTTCTAGTAGTTTAGTTTTATACTTAAGTAGGGTTTTAAAAGTACTTATCTTTTAAACTTAACCGGGAAGGCGTTATATTATACCTTTATCTAAAAGTATATTATATAGTCTAAGTAAACGTATAATATCTATAAAATATACTTATAGTACTTATAAGTAAGTAGTATTTATAGATTATCTTTAAATTCTCCTTATAGTTACTATTCTTATTATAAAGCTATAAAGGTAGTAACTATAACGATAGCTATAGTATAGTCTCTTTTATATAGTACTAGTTAATATCGAATTAATATAGCTTATTAGTTTTCTATAAGAATTTAAGGTATTTATTAGGTTCTAATTTTAAGTATTTCTTTAAATTCTTTAAAGTATAAAGCGTATTTTCTAATCGTAGTATTTTCCCTTAGTAGCGAGGGTAGTAATATAAGTTCGTTCTTATCTTTTATTTTTCTAGGTATTTCTTATTCTTTAGAGCTTATATCGTTAATACTTCGTTATTCCTCTTTAAGTTATTATCTAAGTTTCGTAAGTATAAGGGCTATATCTATATCTTCTTTATTATATTATTTATAGACTACTTATCGTTATTATCGATTTTTATTTTATATATATTCCTAGAATTATTTACCGTTCTTCTTAATCTAGTCTTAGGAGACTCCTTTAAGATAAGGGTATTTTAGTTCTATAAATTTAACTTATTTCTATATTTTAAGATCCCTTTATTATATTATTATAAAGGTCTTCTTTAATAGCTTTAGGAACTATCTAGTACTATTCTTATTACTTAAGTATACTATATATTTATCGTTGTAGTATATAGTTTAACTAAGGAGTTTATACTTTAGTTCCTATCTATTAATAGCGTTTAAGTATTTCTTACCTTCTAGGGCTAGTACTTAATAGGTTTTCTTCTCCTTATAAGATTATTTATATTCTTTAAAGTAATATCTAAGTTTCCTATAATTAAAATACTTTCTTTTACTTTTCTATATTATATCTAGATCTATAAGAATATACCCTTATATTCCTATTTTACTATTATAAAGAAATAATAGGTATACGGAGGCTTTATAGAATAAACTAGTAAAAAGAGGCTCTATAATATAGTCTAAGGGAATAACCCTTAAAAGATAAAGACCTCTACTAGACATCTATACCTTCCTCTAGGAAAAGCGGGTCAGGATAAGCCTATCCTTACAAACAAAAATATATATAAAATGCATAAGTCAATTACGAGCAGAACGGATACCCTATTGCCTATTTTAGCCTAGCGGTTCCGAAGATATCCGCGATACGAGAATAGGTAGGGCATAGAACATTCTAGTTAAATCCACTACTTATGCTAGAACCTATAGTCTTACGTCAACCATTACGCCACAATCAGACCACCTACTAAGTTAGGAAGATATACTATAGATAGAGCTTTTTAAGCACTATAGAATATGCTAGAAAGCTAACTAATTAGTCTACTAGTAGGCGAGATATGGTCTATAAAAGACGAAGGATTTCCCTAGGAGTAGTAGATTAAATAAGTAAGTTCGCAAGTATCTTTTACAACGCTATTCTTTTAATATATTATTTAACCCCTTATATACTCATTATAAATTCCGGACGAAATCCTACCCTATACTCCTTCGACCGATCTTTCCGCTTATATTATTAATTACCCGATTCTATGCTTATTACTTATACCTTCTTATAAGATCTATCCTACTTAAGTTAGTTATATAAGCGTAGGTAATAGGAGTTTCGCGCTTCTTTTTATAGTTAGCGCGTTAGTTAAAGTTATTCTTATAGGAAGGGTTTTAGTTTCCTCTTCCTTATTTCTTTTCTTAGTATTATATATACTATCTATTATCGATTTATACTACTATAGTAATATAGTCTAAGAGGTTATTAGGTCGATTTTCCTTATAAAGCTCGTCCTTAACTTCTTCTTTAAGCCTATCGTAGAATCGTAATATAAAAGGTTCGTTATCTTAATTAAGCTTTAAGGTAACTTAATAGAACTTTATAGTATAATCTAATACTAAGATCCTTTATTAGAGTTCTTAAAGTTTTTATTTAGCTTCTTATTCCTTATTAGTTATTCTAAATACCTTTATAATAGCTTCTTTAAATCCTTAGAAACTAGTAAAGACTTTATCTATCTTATTATCTTATTACGCTAGTTAGTTATCGAGAAAATCCCTTATAATAAGTTTAAACTAAGTAAGTACTATTCTAAATAAATAATTTCCTATATAAAGTACCTTTTCGACTAAGTCTAAGAGTTTAATAAGGTAAAACCGGTAGTAGGCCTTAAGTTAAGTAAGAAAGTCTTAAAGCATACTATAAGTACTATCGAATAGTCCTAGCTATTTTAGTTTAATTACTTCTCTAAGGTCCCTAACTTATTTATTACCTCCTTTATTCCTAAGTAACTATACCTTATATTAAAGGGTTATAATCTTATATATTATATCCTAAGGCGATATAATAGCTCTAGAGTTAGTTAATCTAGCTTACTATATAGGTATATTAATAGTTACGATATTACTTAAAGTAATATAGTATTATATTAAATAAGAGCTTTTAATATATAATAACTAGTATTATTCCTAAGGGATAAACCTATTAAGGGGTTTATATTAATAGATATAATAGGGCGTAGTCTAAGTAATAATTAGTATATTACGTTAGTAATAAGTTAGAGGTTATAGACTATAGACTATAACTAGGTAATTAAAATTAGAGATAGAATTATAATAAAGATCTATATTAAAAGCTAGAGAGCTATCTATCTAAAGGAGTAAAAGTAGGTAGCTATATATACCTATAAAGACTATCCTTAGATCACGGTCCTAGCTATAATCCCCTTTATAGCTTACTATAGCTTACTTATAAGCTATACTCCTAAGTAGTAATCTATCTATATAAGGCTTACTTAGCTTATATATACTCTAGGTAAGCTAAGCCTAAGTAACTTCTCGTCCTAACTATTATTCCGAGCCGCCTTATTACGTAAACGTAGCCGGCTCTCCTATAGCCCGCTAACCGTAGTTATAATATATAATTATAAAGATAAGTAGCTCTTATAAAGCTAGTTTAATTAAGTTCTATAACTATATAAGCTTTATATTATCTTCCTATACTATAGTTCCTACTACTTATAAGAGCGTCTCTTTTTTATTAAAAAGGAATTTACTAAAGGTTTACCTATCCCTTTACCTAAGAGTCTATAGCTTATCCTATACTTTCTCTTACTCTTATATATTACTAAATATATATATAAGGTATTAAAAGAAGTCCTATAGGTCGCGTTTACCCCTAAGGCCGCCCTTATCTTAGAATCTAAAGATCCGCTATATCTAGGGCTTTAATAGTATATAAAGAAATACTACGCTATATTATAATAGCTATTTAAGCCTTATTTCTTATCTATTATAAACTTTATTTATAGCTAGCTAAGGAAGAAGTAAAAGGACTTAGGCTTACTATCTTAAGTCGGCTAAGAGAGCGGCTTCTACGTTAGTAGTGCCGCTACTATAGCTAGCGTTACGGAGGTTATAGGGGTTAACGCTAGTCTTATAGAGGCTCCCTTAGTATAGTAAGAACCTTATTCTTCTAGCTAGCTATCGCGCTTTTAATTACTTCTAGGATAGCTATAATACTTCCTATCTACTTAAGGGGTAGCGGGGTGCTCCCTTAAAGAAGTAGTACCCTTTTTAGGGAGATATCTATTAAATCTATTAGTTAATAGCTTATATTATTATAGAGTAAGTAGAGGTATATATCTAGGTACTATTTATAGGATAATATTAATAAGCTATATAAAGCTCTTTTATACGCGGCTAGCCTATATATATATATATAGGATCTAGCCCTCTATATATAACTATATAGCTTAGGCTATAGCCTAAGCCTATAACTTATAATAGTTAAAGACTCTTATATTTACTTACTCTATAATAGTATACTTAAGCTAGCTACCGCTACTATAGCTAATTAGAACGTAGGATTTAAAGCTCTTTATAATAGCTAGTAGCTAGAGTAGCTAGAAATACTAAATTTAATTATCGTGATATTAAAATGCGGCTTTAATTACGGTTAGAATATGCCTGCCTTAGTACTGCGAAGGGTGCCGGAAGTAGGGGGTGCCGGAAGTTAGGTGTGCTAACTTAGTCAGGGCCTTTCTTAAAGTCACACCTATAGACTCCCTCTTTTAGGCAGAATAGTGCAATCTACACCCTCTTTCGTCAATGCAAAGACCTAACAACTAGTAATAGTTACAACGGCGGCAGAGGGCAAAAGAAGACGAATTAACTAAGCCGCCTAGCTAGTTAATTGACCACGCCTATCAATGGTCGGTTGCCCGGGCGCACAGTGTGGCCCAGCCCGTAACAGTTATATAATTATTATACGTGTTAATTGTTAGCCTGTCTTTAAATTTAGCGATTAAAGTCTAAAATAGTTCCTTGTTAACATCTAATTCCTTTAAGTTTCGGGGCTTCTACTTATCTCGCCGACTAAATCTCTAGATAATAGCCAAAGCAGTTGTTTCCTTATCAGCCATAAGCTAGTCTTCACAAGAGGGAGTCGGCGATCCTTTCACCTGTTTTAGGAAAGGGGACATAAAACAGTTTTTCCAGACTTCGGCCAGTAGACTGTTAGTCATCTAATGATAGTGCCAGGTCGTATATATTTCCCTATAAAGGCAGGCGCCCGGAGCTCAACCTTGAACAGGGCAAAAGAATCTATCAAAGACACCCGCCGCTCCAAAGCAGCCGCAATGCCATGTCCCCAAGTGAAGGCGTTTAAAAATCAAATGTAAAAAAGGCCAATCCTCGTCCACGGTCAACCCTCTGACGTGTCCATGGCGTCCTGGGCGAGCCGAGCCTTGGCCGCCGCAACCTTTTCCTCGCGCCATTTCTCGATCCTCCCCTTGAGCTCCGTCTGCGGGATCGCGTCGTCAACAGTCATGGGCTGGCGAGTAAAAGGGTCCTTGGGATCGCTGAGCAGGTGCTGCATAATCGTCGACCGGTCGACAATGTGATTGCTGGGGAGTAGGACGGGATCCTTCATCAGCTCGCCCATGATAGGATCCTCGAATTCGGGTGGAATATCCCCCAGGTCAATCTCGGCTTGGTCGAGTCGTTGCTTCGCCTCGAGAAATTTGAGCTTTATCCTCTCCCACTTTCCAATCTCGCTCGCGTCCTTGTGCTGCTTTGAGTTCAAAATCCGTGTCACCCGATCCAGCACCTCGGGCTTGTACGAGCGGCCGTCGGCAGCCACCGCATCCACAAAAATGGGCGAGTACCCGAGATGCAGGTAAATGTCGACAAAGTCCGAGATCAGCTGGATCGGGCGGAAGTGATACTTGTCCTTGTTCGAGACGCTCAGCTCGGCCGCCGCCTTCTTTCCCGCCAGCGTCTCCAGGTTGTAGTTGAGCATGCTCGCCAGGCGGGACACAATCTCTGGCATGGTAAAGGACTCGCTCAGCGCCTGCGTAAATAGCTTCATCATCGCCAGCGTCTCGTTGGCGAGTTGCATGTACGACGTTGCCTGGTTGCCTAGGGTTTGCAGCTCCTCTTCCTTTTTCTGCTTGTCCTCGGCAGACAAGGAGGGGTCCTCCAGCTCTCTCTCCAGGATACGCATCTTGGGAAACTTGGTAAACGCTTCGTCCAGGACGTAGGTTGCGTCGTTGAGCAGCATGTTGACAAATTGTACGAAGAAGCTGCGGTTGGCTCTGGAAAGGAAAGAGCATCGCGTTAGAGCTCGCATCTGAAAGGGAAGACGAGAACACAACTTACGTGCTCTCATTGGTCAGCTGCTGCTTGTACACGTCGTTGCCCCATACGCATTTGATAACCTGGAAGATCTCGAAGCGAATGTTAAACTTGTCGTAGAAAGCCGTGTTGGCGCCCGTCGACTCGCACTCGATGTAGAACTTCATCAGGGCGTGGAGAAGAAATTCATTGGCAAACGGGAGAGAGACGAGCTGATCCCCCAGCACGCCTCTCTTGAAGTGCATAAACGGCCATGTGCTAGAAAAGAGGAGAGACACGAGTGAGGATTTCAGGTAGGGGTTTTTGATGTACTCTGACGAGCGGAGAAAGGTGATGCAGAGTGCAATCATCTCTTCGCCCACGGCACTCGGCAGAATCTTGGGCAGCCATCTGAATGTATTGTCAGCCGCATCCAGTTGTCGTCAAGTCTACTTCTCTATGCTTACCTGAAGATGAACTTGAAGTTGTCAACAATGTTCTGCAGCGTGTACTCGGGAAGACAAGCAAACGCATCCTGGTTCTTCATGGAGAGTGGCAACCTGGCAGCCGTTAGCACCGACGCAATATATGGGGAGTGGAGCCCTAACATACTTGACCATCTGCAATTCTCTGCCAGGCTTGTAGTCCGATTCCGTGACGAGCCGGAGCAACCATACCGCGACATAGCGCATGAACCTGAGCGAGGTGCTCTGCATCCTCTCGTCGAGGAGGGCGCCCTCAATCGCATACTTTAGCGCAATCGTCTTCTCCAGCACATTGGTGTGTCGTTTCAGGGTTTCCTCGAACAACCTCAGTTGATGCGGCGTGTTGGCAACCTTGGGCCGCTCCGCCTCCATGGCCTGTATGCTTTTCTGCAGGTACCGAATTTCCCGTTCCAGGTTCTTGAGCTGCGAGTTCAGAGCCTCGCTGCCATAGTGATGCGCCGCCAGCGCGAGAAAAAAGGCCTCGGAGATGAAGTTGGATTCGCCCGACTCCTTTTCCGCGTAGAACTTGTCGGCCGTCGCCTGGTCGGCGTTGAGCTTGGTCTCGTCCTTGATGTCGACCCGAGGCTGCCTCCTGAAGTACTTGACGTCGATCTTGTCCACCTTGCTAAAGTCGTTATCCATAAAAGGCTCGCAAAACCGGTCCATGACGCTGGTGACGTTGAGCATGAACCCATCTGAGGCCACCTCCCTCGGGTCCACCTGGATTGCTCTCCGCTTGTGGTTCATGTTCATGATGTAGGCAAACCAGTTGAGCGTGCGGCTTCTCGTGTCAGGGCCCGCTCGTATGAAAGCATTTGCAATGACAAAGAGGTCGTCCTGGTGAGCCCTGAGCACAATCCGTAGCGAGTCCTGGGCGTTTTCGATTCGTGTCTTGTCGAGAGATCGTGGGCCCGGGAAATAGCTCTTGATGGCCTCTGGTTGCAGAGGAGATATCCGAAAGAAGGGACCGAGCACGGTGAATTTTTCGATGCCGGGCGCCGACTGAGCCATGTTAAAGCACGGGTGTTGCGCGAGGTTAGAGATGAGGACAGGAAAGTGTGTGTATGCCAAGAGAGCCTATATGGACGTTTGGTCAATGTGGACTGTCAGAGTTTTGTGTTGGGCCCTGGACGGCGTACCTGAACGTGAGGCTTGTAGTCGTCTCCGAGAGACAACTTGGAAAGTCTATTGCTGACGTCGACCATGGCGTTGTCGAAGAGCGCAGGGAAGGCGTCGTCGTCGTCAAAACGGCCGATTGCTAGCCGGATAAAGTCCAAGTCGAGCCCGCCTTCGTCCGAGATGCCGCGCAGCAGGTATGGAACAAGGGTGTCATGGTCGGGGTTGACATCTCGGCTAGCATGTGTTAGAATTACGACGGGCAGGGGCTTCGAGACACGTACCCGTAAAGCACTGGCATCGTCAGGGAGAAGAGGCAGTTGCTCATGCACAGACGCTTGGCCTCTTCATATACGTCCAGGCGGGCGCCGGTGGCGTTCTTGGCGGTGCTGGCAGCCCTGACAGCCCGCTTCCAGCAAGGGAGCAGATAGTCCATGAGGGGCTTGTCCAGCGGCCAGTTGCCGCAGGCCTCTATGATGGCCTGGTCTAGGTTGGCGGTGGAGATCTTGAGAGGTTCGCCGGCGTCATTGAGCTCCTGGTTCAGGTTGGGCAGGAAGACGAGCCTCTGGGCCTGAGTGATGGAGAGATGATGAGGATCCACGGTGACACGGAAGATCTGCGTCAAGAGCCTGTGTGCGTAGTCGTCGTCGGGCTCGGCTTGCTTGGGGTTCGGCCTGCGCGCGGGAGGCGTCGCTAGGGTGTCGTCGTCAACCTCAGCGGCGGACCTCTTGCGGTGAGAGCGGGAGCTACCTGTAGAGCCGGACGTGCCTTGAGGCTCCATGGCATGGACGCCGAGCTGGGTGAAGGGGTTGGAGGCGGGAGTGATGTTGATGTGAGCTTTCGGGGTCGAGGCGTCGCTGCTCTGCGGTTTCGGAGTTGGCGCCGTCGAGGGGGGCGCAGAGGCGCTATCCGAGTCGTTGCCCTCGCTCTGCTTGGGTGCCGACGACCCCAGCTTTGCCAGGCGCCGTGCCCGGATCTGCGCGGCGCAGCGGTCAGTCGTCGTGCGTGCGGGCGACGGCTCCAAACGACTTGCCTGGTCCATCTTCTCCTTGTCCGGGGCGTCGCCGCCAGGCCAGGACGGCTGTTGGTTGGGATCCATATCGAACCGTCTCCCGCATCCGTCAGCGAGAGGGGGTGCTTGAGGCTGGAGAGGACAAGGCGGGTGGACGATGGCACGATGGGCGAGGCTGACGGGTGTGGATGGAGGTTGTCAAGGTTGAGCCCCACGGCGGTGGGTGTGTGACCTCTATATTTCGGAGCCCCGTGCGCTAGGATTGGACGCCCCCGCCGTGACTTGGCGGATTCTGCGGGAGGAATCGCTGAAGACACCAGCCGCCACAGCAGATGGCGCACACTGAACGCCTCGCGGGCCTGGACAACTGAGAGCGCCTAGAAGGGGAGCAGCACCATCGGGCTCAACGATGACAAACGCCGGGGCACTGCACTGCAGACCTTTGGTTGAAAAGAGTCAAGGCGCGGACGAGTGCGGTTTTGGGCGCCCGACGATAAGGAGGCACGGAGTACGACATATAAGGGCTTGGACTGCACGGCGGCCCCATTTCTACACAAACTCCGCGGCCAAGAGGTCCCAGCTGCCAAAGTCCGCCGCACCGTCTCACCGGACATCCGCACGCTTCCATCATTGGCATTTGGGCTTGCCAAGCCGGATATGGAGGACGTTCTTTATTGGCACAATCCAACGGTATTTCCCTAAGAATTCACCTTTTACACCATCCATTGTATGCTTCCATTACAGTCTTTTTTGTATGGGATGAGGGTATCTCATGCCCAGCGCCCAACGCCGTACCAAATGTTCAGGTCAAACATGCCTTGCCCTCTCTTCCACATTACAGTCGCGGCAAATCCATCTCGGTCCCCGACGACCGCCTCCTCTCCGGCAGCACGGGGGCCGCCTCGCCAGTGCTGTCGACACGCCGGATGCTGGCCGAGGAACCCGTATTGTTGGCGGCCCTGGTGCGGCCCTCCTCGCGGCTCCTGTTGAGCAGCCAGTTGACGTGCATGCGTATCATGTTAATGTTGTTGCGGAGCTCTGTCACCTCCTCGCGGATCGGCATCACCTGGTTCAGCGTCCACATGCTCTGCCGCGCCTCGAGCTGCGTCAGGTTCTGGTGCACCTCCTCGAACCCGGCGTCCAGGTCTTGCATGGTGCGGTTGTCGTTGGCGATGGAGTCGGTGCCCAGGTGACGGCGGGTCACGGCCAACTCGTCGATACGGCGGTCGCTCTCAGCTTGTCGGGCCTTGACCTCTCGCAGCTGGCTTCCCAGGTCGCCGTAGGACTGGATGAGGTCTCGCTGCGCCCTGATGACAATTCCCGAGGGAGTGTCGGGGTGAAAGGCACACATGCGAGAGTGAGAGCTCATCTCTCCGCGCATGGTCCGCACGGAGCAGCCCACGTCCTGGTGGGGGCAGGGAACCTCGATCCCATCGCACTCGAGCTCCCGATGGGCGTCCATCTGCGACCGGCGCATGAGCTGCCAGCAGCCCAGACAACGGGTCTTGGCGCCTGGGCATGAGAGGAAATGTGCGTCGAGCTCGGCCTCTACTGTCCTCACGTCGCAGTGGGGGCAGCTCTTCTTTTCCTTGTGGGGACACACATCGTCCCTGGGTTTGTAGGACATCTTCTTGTCGCAGTCGGTGTCGGGGCACGAATAGTCCTTGTATCGGCACTCGGTCATGGCGTGGCTCTCAACAGCCTCGCGCCTGAGCTCCCGGCTGCAGCCCCGGCCATGGTACGGGCACCTGACAACGAGGCCGTTGAGCTGGTTGTGGATCAGCCTGGCGGCGCTGAAGCAGTCGAGCCAGGAGAGAAAGTCCCGATCGATGGGGCAGGTGGTGCCCGAGGGGCTGGAGGCTATGCTGCGTCGCAGGCATCGGTAGCAAAAGGTGTGGTCGCACGGAGTCGTGACGGGATCGACGAGGGGGTCGTGGCAAATGGGGCACAGCAGGCTCGAGTCGGGATCGGAGACGTAAACGAGGGCATACAAGTCGAAGACGGAGCCGCCTCCGTAGCGCTTAGGAATGTCGAGAGAGGAGGGATGGGGCGCCGCCAGGGGGCCGGAGCGCCGATCGGAGGCGGAGGCGGAGGTTCGATGCATGGGCAGGTCTGCCGACATGGTGGTGGACCTCGAGGGGAGGCCGCCGGGGCGCAGACGAGCGTGGAGGCCGGGGGCGATGTAGACGGCATCGGGGGAGGGGGGCCGGACGAGGCTCGTGACGAGATCGGGGGTAGCCGAGGTTCGCCGCAGGTTCCGACGGGCAAAGCGCCTCGCGGCGGCCGGGCTCATCCGGAGTCCCTCGTCGCTCGACTCGGAGGCGGACTCGCGCGAGGGCGCGACGCTAGCAGCAGAGGTGGCGACCGGCGGCGGCGTCGGAGGGGTTGCAGAAGCAGAGGCGTCGTCGTCGTTTTCGGCGGCGGCGGCGTTGCTGCCCAGGACCGCCGCTGCGGTAGGGCTCGCCGACATTGGCGATGCTGATGAATTAGAGACGAGGCCCGAAGGAATGGGGCCGGGGTCGTTCCTTGTCGGACGGCCGGTGGGTGGAAGAGTCTAGCACCGAGAGAGGGGGGGGACAGGTATGAAGAGAGAGGAAATGGTGTGATGTTTCTTTTATGTAAGCTCCGCTTCCCAGCCATTTGAACCAGGCGCTTTGTCGATCGATGATCAGCCACGCGCGCTCGAGGTGGGGTCGGTTGGAGGTTTATTAAATTATTACCCCGGCAGTTGTTACGAGTCTTGTGCTGTCCCACGCAACATGACCATGCTCATGGCAGTTTATGTTTCTTGGCGGAGTATTCCCATCACTGACGGAGCCGGAGAACATGACGACAGGGCAGATTCCCACGTGCACGGATCCGGGGGCGGTGTCTGTGACGACCAGAATCGTGGCCTGATTTATACGTGTCTGGGCACAGAAAGAGTGTGAGCATGCTGTTCATGACGACTCGGTCTATTTCACACACGGGGATGCAGATGCCATCTCCCCGTCTCCGCATCGCAAGTCCAAGAGACAAGGGAGAGGGAGCAGCTCGACGCAGAGAGTCGGTACTGGCTACATGCTCCCATTCATCCACGCTCGGCCGAGGACCCTGTTTTCATGTTTTGCTACCTGCCATTGTCGCGAAGACCATTGCGCCACGCAGGCAAAAGTGGAACGCGCGCTCCTACAGGTGCGCTGCAATTGACACATATGTCTGACAACCGCTTCCCGACAGCCATTGCATCATCCGACAGCACCCTGCCTTTTCCTTTCTTTTTTTCGACTCAGACCGTCCGCTGACAATTTGGAAAAATAAAAAACTGAACCCTTGGCCAAAGATCAGATGCCGCTATGCTGTATCGAGGTTGCCGGGCACAGGCATGCAGTCGAATATCAACAGGGTCAGTGTACTCTGTGTTCGTCCGACCTAATGCCAATTGACACTGAGAGTCGATCATTACCCCGAATTTGGTCTGTGGATCTCTTCTTAGTGCCATCAATGGTTTTGCTCCCCGAGGCAGTTTGACCCGCCACCGTTGCCTCGAGCACTTGAAGTTCCGTCTTAACGTTGATAACGCCGTGCCATGGACTGCTGATGGCTCGGCGAAGAGCGCAAAGGAGATAATTAGGGTCTAGCTCGACACTTGCCGTTAAGTGCTTAACGAATTGCAGGTAGTCTCCCTTATATAGGGTGGCAGAGCGGTGGCGGGAGTTTCTCCTGGCGGCAATCTGAGCTTCTCGGACCTTGACGAGCTCCGACGCATCTGGAGCGGGAGATTCTCGATGGCTATGGCAACAAGCAAGGACGAAGTAGCGGAGCAAGTCTAGGTTTCCGTTGCGAATCTCTCCGGCGTGCTCTATTGCAATACGGATGCGACGTCGCAATGTTTGACCGCAGTAGGACTTGATGTAATCGGCTTCTCGATCATTAACACCCTACCCTATCAATATATCCGCCCTTTTCCGCCTAGGTGGCACTACGTGCTAACTACGATTCCGAGTGTTGGTGAAACTCGGGCTTGTTATGAGGCGTGCTAAGAAAGTTGTCATCGAATATAGCTTAAACCTGAGGCGATAGGATCTCGCCTTGGAGCCCAAGGAGCTCTGGCGTAACTTGAGCAATCTCTTCGTCGAAAATTGTGGTTAGGAGCCTAGAGATGTGAGCATGGTGCTGTAGCTCAAGTGCCTTATATCGTCAACTGCATCTCTTTCTAGCTCATCGACGAGATGGGTTATACATCCTGTTTGATCCGGAAACTAGACTTACCTATGGGTTGGGTGCTAGAGGCCCTGGGCTGACAACGAAGTCGTCGACCAGACTGCTTCTTGCCAAGAGATTCATGTTGGCGATGCTGCTGGCTGGTGTAACCCACGGACATCCTGTAGACCTGTACAAAGTACAAGGCACGGATACAGACCCGCACGACGTCATGGGCCATGTGGCTGGGCTCTCGCTTAGGTAATGCTCGTGGCCCAGACATGTGCCGCCGCATGGGCAACCCACCACCTGACATGACCGGGCCTGGAGAAAACGAGACGCTGCGTCCAAGTCCGGGAGTTACTAGCCAAGTACTCTCTCTGCACATGTTTCACGACGAGTAACCTCTGCAGTATCTGCCCCCGGACATGCCGCGCCGGCATAGGCAACGGGCTCTTTCACATGTCAGCGGTTTCGTCCTGGAGCAACAGCCACTCCACCTTCCTTCCATCCGCCTCTCCATTCCGCCTCTCCATTCCGCCTCTCCGTTCCGCCTCTCCGTTCCGCCGTAACCCATGACCTCTCTCTCCCTCCTCTGCTTGGCTCTGCTCTGCCCTCCGACGACGATTCCAGCGGATCTCCGCCCCTGGATATCCATCCGGCCTCTTATCGATGTGCGCTCCGCATGTAGCGACCCAGACTCTCGGGACCGGCTCCGAATCTCGCCCCTCGGGCCTTGAATCCCAGCCATGATCGACCACGTCCTCGGCCGGCCCTCGACCAAGTCGCGCCGCCTGCAGGTCCTCGCCGTCTTGTCCTTCTGGTCGTTTTACCTCTACAAGTACATCTCTCCCCTCGCATGTGTGCATTTCCGTCCTGACCAGAGAAACAGAGGCGATAAGCATGGACCCCCCGGGCCCCGGCTGCTCTCGCGCATCCTCTCCAAGCGCCTCACGCCATGGCAGGCCTGCCTCGCGACCCTCATGTACCTCTACGCCGCTCGCAACTTCAGCGCCCTCGTCGGCCTCACCAGCCCCGAGCCCCTGGCCAACATGTACGACGCCACCTACTTCAGGGCCACCTGGGTCCTGACGGCCCTCGACGCCGGCTTCTGGACCGCCATGAAGATCCGCACAAAGTGGCTGCGCGACCTCGCCAGCATCACCTTCTCCCTCTTCTACCTCGTCGCCGCCGAGAGGGCCGACGAGAAGGTGCGCAAGGTCAGGTGCGCCATAACCGTCGAGCACATGCGCGTCTCGTGGAACAAGGGCACCACGCCCTACCTCGGCTCCATCCAGCGCCTCCTGCGCCCGCGCTTCACCCGCTGGCCCCCGCGCCAGATCCGCATCCCCCGTCCCGCCGACAGCGACTACAAGGAGCCCGTCGCCGCCTGGCTCTACTATGACGGGCCCGTCGCCGACCTCGAGCACCACAGCCGCGTCATCGTCGACGTCCCCGGCGGCGGCTTCGTGGCCATGGACCCCCGCTGCAACGATGACAAGCTCTTTGCTTGGGCCTCCAAGTCGGGCCTGCCCATCCTCAGCCTCGACTACAAAAAGGCCCCCGAGTTCCCGTATCCATACGCCCTCAACGAGTGCTTCGACGTCTACGCCACCATCATCGGCACCCAGGGCCGCTGCCTCGGCATGTCGGGTCGCGAGATGCCCCGCGTCATCATTGCCGGCGACAGCGCGGGCGGCAACCTCGCCGTGGCCGCGACCCTGATGATCCTCGAGACGAGCAGCGCGCCCTTTCGCCGATCATCTGGTCGAGCCGGCCTGCCCGCTCCCGACGGCCTCGTCTGCTTCTACCCGGCCCTTGACATGAACATTGGCAACTGGATGTCGGACGAGCAAATGTCCCTCATCCAGGACCGCAAGATGCGAAAGACGAACCGCTCGATTGTGCACCGCAAGAGCATGCAGTACAATCAGCTGGTCGGGACGCCCCACCACTCCGACGACGACGACGATAGCCCGTCGGCCGAGGTGCCGCCCAGCAAGAGCCCCAACGAGTGCCAGCCCGAGTACTCGCACTCGGGACCGCAGAAGCTCGGCTCTTCGGAGCCGTCGGCGGCAAGGGGCACGGCCGGCATGTCGCATCACGCGGAGCCCATGAAGACGCGGCTGGCGACGTCGTCAATGATTTCGTACACCAACGACAGGGTGTTGACACCCGAGATGATGCGCGCCATGATCATCCTTTATATTGGCGCCCATAACCGACCCGACTTTTCAAAAGACTATTTGCTGAGTCCCGTGCTGGCGCCCGACTCGCTGCTTGCCAAGTTTCCCAAGACGTACTTTATGACGGGAGAGCGCGATCCGTTGGTGGACGATACGGTGGTTTTCGCTGGGAGGCTGAGGCGGGCCAAGGAGGCGGCCGCGAGAGAAAGGCTCGGTGCCGACGGTGGGGTAGACGAGTCGGATGCTGCCGAGCTGCTACTGCTGCCCGGCATATCACACGGGTTCATGCAGTTTCCGGGCATCTACCCGCCGGCATGGAAGCACTTTGACCGCAGCGCCGTCTGGTTCGAGCACCTCTTCGCCGAAGCCGACAACGCACGCAACCGACGCCTCAAGCCGGACTCTGCAGCGGCGGGCGGGCGGGCCAACGGACAGGCGCGACAGCACCAGATGGGTGAGTCGAGCGGCGAGGAGGACAAACCACTGGAGATGAGCATGACGCGGGCGACGCGCGGGCGCAGCTCGACGCAGTCACAGCAGGGCAGCAAGGGAGACGGGCCGGAGCCCGGGCCGGGACTGCGGCCGGGTGGCGAGGGGGAGCGCAACGGCAAGAAGAACGGCAAGAGGGTGCTGAGCAAGAACAAGAGCTTGGTGAAGCTGAAGAGTACAGACGATTTGCTGGGCCGCAGAATGCAGGGGCTGGCGAGTGGACTGACGGGGCAGGGCGAGGAGGACTAGGAGGCGGGCTGGCAGATTGTGCTTGGGGTACCAAGGCTTGGAGGGACAATGACACTCGCGTACTAATACCATGTCACGAATAGCGGAACGAACCAAGGGAGCATTATGGCACTGAGGTGGATGACCGGGACGCGAAACAGGATCTGATGCAATCAAGTTGGCCGGCTCTGCTGCAGCATCGTGGGGCGCGTCACTAGCTTGGCATTGGGCAAGGAGACGGCTAATTTCCCTGTCTTTCAAACCTAACGTGCGGTACATTCTGTTAGATGTCGTCATGGCTGGGGGCCGTCATGGCTGTGATGCCTTGACGCCTAATCCGTTGATGATCTTGACAGGGATGTACAATGGAGAAGACGACGATATTTGAAGACACCAAGTTTGGCATTTCTCGTCTGGCACTACGGAGTATGTTTGCACGATATCCATTCACCTCCCGGCCATGCGGTAGTTAATATCACGCTCCCCCTCTCCGGGCAGACAGCCCGGACGGCCGAGCGGGGCCGTGAGCGGGCGGGTGGGGCACCGATCGGAAGACAGGGGTCGTGCCGAACTGGACTAACAAGAGGGGGCGGGGCGGGCAGCAGGGATTGATGAAGCAGCTCGGGCAATTTTTACCTGGTATTTCCCTGTTGTCAGTCTTTGTACGATGCACACAACCCCCTTATCCCATTGCCTGAATCTACGCCAGTACAGTACGGCACTGTAAAACAAACCTTGATCCTTTGGAGCCCAATTGGGTCCTGCGGGGGCCGGGGGGGGACAAGGTGGGGGAGGAGGAAGAAGCCGACTGATCCGACCCAGACGCGGCCTTGCGAGGTAGCTTGCTGCCACTCGGCGCGCCCATTGCCGGATGTTTCCTTTTTGCCTTGGCCTGCTATGGCTTTTTACTTGAGTCTTCTGCATGGGGGCGGGATACGGGCTGCGTGGGAGGAGAGGGAGGGGGGGAGGGGAGCAGCTGAGGACTTCACCCCCCTCCGTCCTCCAGTCGTCTTGTTTCTCGGGTCTCGGACCCTGAGCCATGGGTATGTATGTAAGTTATACTCCGTACATGTTTGTGGCTTACGGTGTACAGGGTGCGGATACGCACTCTTCCCAGGATATCCGTAGAGCGCGCCATCATAGACCAGCTACATTGCTAGCTTTTAAAGCTCCCCCCCTCCTCTCCTTTGCCTCCAGCTCCGTCTCCCACGCTCTCGCCCACCAAACATCCGCCCCCCTTTAAACCAGAATCGAAACCCACTGTTCATCCCAAGACAAACACACACGCACACACGCACGCGCACACACACGCACCATGGTCCACCTCAGCGCCATCAACCACGACCACGACCCCGCCTCGTCCTCCTCGGAGCCCGGGCCCGGGACCGGCAACATCTCGTGGAAGCTGGCCGACAAGGCGCAGAGCCTGCTGGCCCTGCCGCGCGACGCGGCCGACGAGTTCTCGACGAGCGTCTGCGGCTCGCGCTTCGCCTGCGAGGAACTGCCGCGCAACAAGATGCCCGAGGACCAGATGCCGCGCGACGTCGCCTACCGCATGATCAAGGACGACCTCAGCCTCGACAATAACCCCAGGCTCAAGTAAGCTGATCCGTTGACTTGTCTCCTCTCTGGCCCTCGTTGTTTTTCTTGTCGGAGCAGACTCGAAGGGGGCTCCTCGTTCGTCTTGCAACGAGGAAGCCAAATGGGATATGGGGCGAGTAAAGAGAAAGCGTGCTGGAAGGGGCTGCAAGAGTACAGATGAGAGCTCCAAGGCTGATTTTCGCTGCCGCGTTTCTCTTCGTCTCGTGGCGGCATGACAACAGTCTGGCCTCCTTTGTCACCACCTACATGGTTCGTCAACACTCCCCTCCCCCCTTTCCTCACCCTCACTCCCGCCCTCACTTCTGATCCCAAGACCACCGAGACTGACCAAAGGCCCCGGCGCGCGGCACCAACAGGAGGACGAAGCCGAGAAGCTCATGACGGAATCCATGTCCAAGAACTTCATCGACTACGAAGAATACCCGCGCTCGGCCGACATCCAGGCGCGCTGCACCAACATGATTGGCGACCTCTTCCACGCGCCCTCGGGCAGCGCCGTCGGCACCTCGACCGTCGGCTCCTCCGAGGCCATCATGCTCGCCGTGCTGGCCATGAAGCGTCGCTGGCGCCAGCGCCGCGAGGCCGGCGGCAAGCTGCCCGACGGCTGCCGCCCCAACATCGTCATGTCGTCGGCCGTCCAGGTGTGCTGGGAGAAGGCGGCGCGGTACTTTGAGATTGACGAGCGCTATGTCTATTGCACGCCGGAGCGCTTCGTCATTGACCCGCGCGAGATGGTGGATTTGTGTGATGAGAATACCATCTGCTGCGTGTTGCTGCTGGGAACTACTTACACCGGTCACTACGAGGACGTCAAGGCCGTCAACGACTTGCTCGTTGAGCGCAAGCTCGACGTCTCGCTGCACGTCGATGCTGCCTCGGGGGGGTTCGTGGCCCCCTTTGTCATGCCGGATCTCGAGTGGGATTTCCGCTGCGAAAAGGTCGTCTCCATCAACGTCTCGGGACACAAGGCAAGTCGCCCCCCTCCTCTCCCCCTCTCCTCGTCCTCCATGGCCCATCGATATACTCATGCGCGTACAGTACGGCCTCGTCTACCCCGGCGTCGGCTGGGTCCTCTGGCGCGCCCCTGAGTACCTGCCGCAGGACCTCGTCTTCAACATCGACTACCTGGGCGCCCAGCAGTCGTCCTTCACCCTCAACTTCTCAAAGGGCGCCTCCCAGGTCATCGGCCAGTACTACCAGCTCATCCGCCTCGGCCGCCGCGGCTACCGCGCCATCATGCTCAACCTGACGCGCACGGCCGACTTCCTGGCCGATGCCCTGCAGGCCCTCGGCTTCGTCATCATGTCGGAGCGCTCGGGCCACGGCCTGCCCCTCGTGGCGTTCCGCTTCGGACCCAACACCGGAGCCGGGCCCGGAGCCGGCGCCGGCCGCCACTACGACGAGTTCGCCCTCGCCCACGCCCTCCGCTCGCGCGGCTGGGTCGTCCCCGCCTACACCATGGCCCCGCACACGAACCGGCTCAAGATGCTGCGCGTCGTCGTGCGCGAGGACTTTTCCCGCTCCCTGTGCGACATGCTCCTCGACGACATCAAGCTGTGCCTCGGCATGCTCGACGAGACGGACCAGGAGACCATCAAGCGCCAGGACGAGTACATCCGGACGCACATGACGGCCTCCGGGCGCTCCAAGCACTCCAAGCACAAGGCCCATGCTTACAAGGTAGTTTGCTCTCGTTCATTCTTTCCCCGTGGCCTTGGTGGACCCTGTCGTGGGGTGTTGCGAGTTGGCGCTGACACGCTCCGTTTACTAGGACGAGCAACACTCGCTGCAGGGCAAGACGGGCAAGACGCATGCTACGTGCTAGGCAGGACATGTTATAGACCAAAAAAATTTTTAAAGGCACTTGGTTGAACCATCTGAATATTGTCTCTCCGCTGACCAGAGTCTCCTCGGCGCGCCCAGCAACCACTGAATCCCATCCCCGGCCACGCAATATTTTCGTGCAGATAAAGCGACGCTCAAGGCGACTCGGGCTCACCCACCCTCGGCTCACGCCAGTTATGGTTGTTGGCCCACCCGTCGGCATACTGCCCGTACATGGAGCCATAATTATCGCGCACGCCGTCGTCGTAGTCGTCGCCCTTGAGCGGCTCGAAGACCGTCTCCTTTAGAAACTGCTCCTTGGACTTCTCCGGCCGGTCCCCAAAGGGCTCAGACGTCAGGGCCCCGTTGCCGGGAAGGTTCTCAAAGTTGAAGTTGGCAGGGCTGTTGTATACTTTCTTGCCCCATCGGCGGCACACCTTCTCGCCCCTCCAGTTGCGCCCGTACTCCTTGTTCCAGTCGCCGATGAAGCCGTAGGCCGAGGCGTCGCCGCACGACTGGTTGAGCCGCGCCTCGACCGCCTTGTACTCGGCCTCGGCGCACACATTCTCATGAATGATTGTCACCTTGCGTTGGCACACGTACACGGCCACGGTCCCGTTGAGAGCCATGGCGATGTGGCCCTCGATGAAGTTGAAGATGTTGCAGTAGTTGAACAGTGCCTGCTTCGACGCCCGGTAGTCGTCCGCCGGCAGCGGGTAGTTGAGCGTGTTGTATTCGCGGAGGTGGATGCACGACACGCGCATCGGTGGCACCGGCACTCGTTGCTTGGCAAAGGAGTCCAGCGCGAGGCCCTCAACCTTGTTGGTCTCGTCGTCGACGAGCCACGTGTACTCGTGTGTTCCCTGTCGCTTCTGCAGCCGTTGCCATCGCTTCTTGTGCGAAGTCCAGCGCCTGACGTGGTGGTTGCCATCCTCTTTGAGGTGGATGCTGTAGTGCCCGTCAGGGAGCGACGGGTCGATGTGGAAGCCGTCAAACTCGGCAGCAGCCAGGGCCCAGAGCCCCATGGCCACGGCAGCGAGGAGCTTCATCGTGTCGAGGGCACCGCGAGTTGCGAGGCTAGATGTGGACTTGGTTCCTCATCAATCCTCGCCTGGCGTCTGCAAGGGGTTATGGGATGCAAGAAGGAACTCGACGAGAAAAGGCCAAAAGTGTCAGGAATAGACAAGATATTTCAAGAGAATAGACTTTTCGCATTCCCGTCATAGTAGTCTCGCTGTTGCCTGCTTGCTTCAGCCACTTTTGGTGTGCAAATTTAAACTCAAGTTGCCACGCGCGCAGGAAGCAATATTCAGTGCCCGCCCCTTTCCAAACTTAGGCAGAATGATAATCGCCTCTCTGATGAACGCACGCCCTCGAGAAAACGAAGCCAGCTTAATGAGGTCGTCGACCATGTTCCTACATGATGAAGAAACGACACGAACTCGACACAAGTCGTCGCTTGAACCCGAAAGAAATGCCGCTCCAAAGGAAAACGCCACGCAAGTCCCGCCACAAGCACCACCCTGCTAAGCTCGAGTGGCGGCAATGGCGTCCTCGAGCATATCGAGGCCAGCATCGATCTCCTCATTCGTAACGGTCAGGCTTGGGACAAACCGCAGCGTGTTGGTCCCCGCGGTAATGACCAGCAGTCCTCGCTCCCGCGCAGCCTGCACGATGGGGCTCGGGTCCTCTGTCAGCTGCAGGCCCAAGATCAGGCCTCTTCCGCGTATTTCACCGACGAGCTCGGGGAACCGAGCCTGCAGCCGCTGAAAACGGTCCCGGAAGAGGTTGGACTTGGCCAGCACGTCCTTCTGGAGCTGGGGCTCCGAAAGCCGAGAAACCATGTAGTGCGCGAGCCGGCACGCCAGGGGGTTGCCGCCAAATGTCGTCCCGTGGTCGCCCACCTTGATCTTTTCGCTGACATGCGTGTTCACCAGCACGGCGCCAACAGGGTAGCCGTTACCCAAGGCCTTTGCCGTGGTGAGGATATCCGGGTGCGCCTCCTCGGGCAGGTTCCCGTGAGCCCAGAAGGTGCCGGTCCGGGAGAGGCCACACTGAATCTCGTCATATATCAGGACGGCACCGACCTCTCGGCACCTCTTGGCGAGGGCGACGAGAAACTCGGGGCTCGCCGTCTGCACACCCCCCTCGCCTTGGATGGGCTCGACGATGACGCCGCACGTCTTTTCCGTGACGGCCGCGGGGATGGACTCGATGTCGTTGTATTTAGCCTGGCGGAAGCCCGGCACCATAGGCGAAAAGGGCTTCTGGTACTTGGGGTTATGCGTGGCCGAGAGGCTGCCCATGGTACGGCCGTGGAAGGCGTTGTTGAAAGACACAAAGTCGTGCTTGTCACCCGACGGGTCGACGACCTTGCCGACCTTTCTCGCAAACTTGATGGCGGCCTCGTTGGCTTCGGAGCCAGAGTTGCATACGAAGACGGCGTTTGCGTCGCGCATGCAGCCCGACTCGAGTGTCTTCTCAATCAGTAGCTTCGACAGGGCGCCCGTCCACGGGTTGTAGTACAAGTTGGAAGCGTGCACGAGGGTTTTTGCCTGTAACAAAGTTGCTGTCAGCCACGGCGGCTCCAGCCTGAGCCAACGCCGCCATCGCATACCTGGTCCGCCAGAATCCTAGTGAAGCCAGCATCGCAGTGTCCCAGGGCCGTGACGGCAATGCCGGCGGTGAAGTCAAGGTATTTACGGTTCTCAATGTCCCAGAGCCACGAGCCCTCGCCTTGGACGAAGACGGGGGGCGGCCGAGCGTACGTCGCTACCATAAAAGGCGCATGATCGTCTACGAGAGCCGCGCTCGGCGAATCCGCCTTGGGATCGGGGTTGGGCAGCGAAGCATCCCTCTAGTCTCGTCAGCAGTGCTCCATGGCAAGAGATATCTGACTCACCTGGATCGTCTGTTGAACGCCCTCGGCTAAACTGGACGAGGCCGAAGCAAAGGACCGGCGCGAGACCCCGGGGACTCGGGCTGCCCAAGAACAGGCCAGTGCCGTCGATTGGCGTCGAAGGGAGAGCTTGAAGGCCATTACTCCAGAATCCCGGCGGTGCAATGAAAGGAATGAGGGTGTCGACGGCGTAAGCAATCAACAGCACCGTCGAGCGGAGGTGGGGCCTTTGACTCGAGGCCAGTCACAATTTTGTTGGGTCCTTTATCGATACCATCTCCGGTGTCGCTCGTCAGCCGCACCTCGTATTCCGTGCAGCCGCCGCTAATCATCCTCCCCAACTTTGCGCATCGCTGTACAAATTCATGGCTAAGACACAAAGAGGCTGCGCGAGCCGTTGGCAGAAACCAATAGAGGGCCCATCTGAAAAGACAAGATCAAACAGAAGCAAGAAAACCTCTGCCGCACATTCAGAGACGAATCTTAGTATGCAACCAAACGCCGTCAGCCGGCCTCGGAATCATGAGCCCCAAGGGCGCGCTGCCCGCTGGCCGTCTTCTTGGGCCGCGCCATCTCCACGTGCTCGACTCGGCGCAGGCACCTAGACTGCACTGTATCCCCCCCTACTGCCCGTGCCCTGCACGGTGTTGAGGACTCGCCTCGTCCAGTCCTTCAGCAGATAGGGGACGTCTCGGATGGCGTCGCCGTGGGGAACCAGGTCCCAGCCTCTAGCTCCGTACCGGTTGTAGTTGAGCCACGATCCGAAGATGAGATAGGCAGCGATGCCCAGGAAGACGCTGGGTGCCTCGTCAGCAGAATGCCCATCTTTGCCCGGGCCAGTCCGACTTACATGATGACGAACCAGGTGAAGAATCCCCAGTGGTTGCTCGAGTTGCCGTTGCCGTCCTTGCCGTCCTTGTCTTTGCCGTCGTTTCCATCTCGCTTCTCGCACGCAAACTTGGTGTGCCACGACAAGCGCAGCACGTCGGCGTCCTTTTCTTTCTCGTAGCTTTCCCAGATGAGAGCGGCTCCTTCCTTCTTGAGCTGATGCTCGATGGCGGATTTCTCCTTGTCGCCCTTGTTGTCATCGCCCTTGTTGTCGTCGCCCTTGTTGTCGTCGCCCTTCTTGTCGTCGCCCTTCTTGTCGTCGCCCTTCTTGTCGTCGCCCTTCTTGTCGTCGGCTCGGCGTTGCGCCCCTCCATCCTTTTCGTACTTGTCCTCGGCATCCCACTCGCCTTCGTCACCCTTTTTGTCCGGGTCACAGAGAAACTCGACGACGGCCCTCTGTTCGCGGCGCTCCTGAACAGGGCCGTCCAGGGGGTGCTTACCACCCTTGAGCACGAGCCTCAAGCCTTCCTTCTGGGAGTCGCTGTTGGAATCGCTCGTCTTGAGTCTGGTGGCGTCGTATTCAAACTGTGATCCGCCGACGTTTTCCAAGGATCCTGCGATGGCCACGACCTCCTCCACTGCATTCGTCTCTCCTTGGAGAAAACGGCCGATGGCGCACACTGTGCAACGGTTAGCCTGGCCCGCGACCGAGGGGGCCCTCGGTTCCAGGCTGGTGGAACTCGCCTCTCGTTCCGTTGGGGCATTCCTCCGTCTTCTTGACCTTGCCGCTCTTCTTGAGGGGCTTGCAGATGTCGAGGGTGTAGGTGAAGTTGTGATGCGTGTCGGGGATGGATTCATAGCGGGACGTGACGACCGAGTGGGGCCCGCCGAGCTGCGAGAGATCGAAACTGTGGCCGTCGACCCGGACGTTGTCGCATCGCAGCATCGCCACGCTCCGCAGCGGCGCGACGACGGCCATGAGGGCGAGTGCTGATAATTGTGGCGGATACATGGTAGAGCTTGGATCGAGCGGATGGGCCCGGGGGTCGGCAGGAGGGAGTTGAGCTGAGGCACACGCGGTTCGTTCCAGCGAGGCGGCGGCGGAAAGGGCTGGCGTCAAAGGGGAAGAAAAAGGCGGTGATACGCCGGCAAAAGGCCACGGGACGGGACTGATCACGCTGGGCTCCTTGTCGGGGACATATTTTTCTCATCAGCTGCGACTTGTGACGGCCTCTGCACCTCGTCTCAGTGCGTAGCACGGGGTGGTGGGGAGTTGGCACGTGACATTCTTGTCCAAGTTGTCCGGGTACGGTCACTGACACAGCACAGTACCAAGTACGCCGGCCGGCCTCTCTCGGTTCCCAGCCGCGACTTGACTTCTATTTACAATCCTACGTCGCACAGCTCCCTCTATCTGAGCCAGTCATGGCTTCATCACCTCGAGAATTCAGCGTCTGTTCCGCCCTTTGTACATTGTGCGTCTTTTCCTACAGACCACTGCATAATATATACTTCGTACACACGCCACATCATCGTCGGCTCAACCTCATGCCGGCCAACTCCTTGTCCTCCTGGCCATCCAAACGCTTGACCATGGAGCTGCCTATCAACCAAAACCCAACTGCTTCCAACCGATCCCCGGGGTATAATCAAACACTGTGACCATCGCGTGAAGCCGTTGTTAACCACGGCGGATGCCTCCTGAACTCCCATGATTAAGAACCGCTGCCAATCCGCCCTTTTTGCTGCCCCCAACGCGCTGCAAGCTCGTCTCTTCCGTTGGTTGTCAGTATCATGAAGCCGAGGAGAGGAAGCAAAGCAAAGGAAAAAAAAGAGAATTCGAGGTGCGCAGTACGCCCGATCCATCAGCCTACAACCCCTGATGCCCCATCATGCCGCCCATACCTTGCATGGCAGCAGCTTGTTGTTGTTGTTGTTGCTGCTGCTGCTGCTGCTGCGCCTGTTGCTGCAACATCATTTGCTGCTGTGCTCGCCTTTGCGCCATGGTTTGCTGAAGAAGCTGCTGGGCTTGCGCATAAGACGTCTGCTTCATCTTCTCAATGGCCTCCTGGGGAACACGGTCGGGCGCGCCAAACTTTGCAACAGCGCCTTGCATGAGCCTCGAGTATATCTGCCGAGCATTATTTTGCATTTGAACTTGGATCGGGTTTGCGCCCATTTGAGGAGGCTGGCCCGGCTGCGGCTGTTGTTGATGCTGTTGTTGCTGGTGCTGCTGCTGTTGCTGATGCTGCTGTTGCTGCTGAAGCTGTTGATGCTGCTGCTGCTGCTGCTGCATTTGCATCGCCGAAAAAGCCTGCATGTTGGCATTGCCACCGTTCATCATCTGCCCGCTGACCTGCCTCTGCATTGGGTTGCCCATTTGACCCATCCGCGCCATCTGCTGCAACTGCGCCTGCATCTGAGGACTCATTTGCCGCAGCTGATTTCCTTGCATGTTTTGAAGTTGCTGTGCGTACTGAGCAAATTGCTGTTGCTGCTGGGGCGTCATCATGCCACCTTGCTGCGGCTGCGGCTGCGGCTGCTGCTGCTGCTGATGATGTTGCTGCTGCTGCTGCAACATCATCTGGCGCTGCATCATCTGCATCATCTGCTGCTGCTGCTGCGGCGACATTCCCTGGCCGTTCATCGCGGGGTTTGCGCCACCATTTTGCATCGCAGCCATCTGTTGCTGCTGCTGCTGCTGCTGCTGCTGATGTTGCTGCTGCGCAATCGCGCGCTGCTGCGCTGCCATATGGGCAAAGACCTGGTTGTTGTGGGGATTTATCCCTTGGTTGTTCATCATCATGGCCTGGCCCATTTGCGAGTTTTGAGCCATCATGTTGGGAGGCGGGCTTGCCTGGCTCATGCGCGGAGTCGCAACCATGGCCGGTCTATTGATGGGTGTTCCGTGAGCCATGTTTGGTGTCGAGTGGGGCATACGGGGAGTGTTGGACGGATGACTTTGCTGGCTGCCCCTTGCGGACATGTTGTGCGCCATGGGGACAGACATTTGTACGTTTTGGACGACGGACGAGGGCCGAGGGGGGCTGGCTGCCATGCTCGAGTTGGTCTGCTGCATGGGAACACTGGCGACCATGGGGGAAGACATGTTCGGCTGCTGCTGCTGCGGTGTTGCTTGCCGGATAACAGGGGACGAGGCCGGAGGTTGAGACATTTGAGCCTGGAATCGCGGCTGCGCTTGGCCTTGCATCCCGTTTGGCATCGCGTTTTGCCCGGCACCGGTGACGCCGTTGGGCGGCCCGCTCGGGACTGCTCCACTCTGAGTGGGATGCGCATGCTGCGGCTGGCCCACGTTTTGTCCCCCGTTGTTCTGTGCCGCTGCATTGTTCGACGTCGCACGAGCTGCCATGGACTGCCGTTGTGCCTCTGCTTGCCGTAGCTGGTTCTCTCGGGCGGCAGCAGCCTCGCGCCGAGCCTTTTCTGCCTCGGCCTGCTGCCTCTGAACCATCTCCTGCTGTCTCTGGAGCTGCATTCTGCGGTCGTTCTCCTGCTGCTTGATCCTCTCCTGTTCCTTCTTCTCTGCCTGCTCTCTTTTGATGTCCTCGATGACCTTGAACCGCTCGAATCTGGGCTCAAAGGTGGCCGCGCCTGTTTGGGCATCCCCGTCTGTGCCGCCTGAGCCCTGGGTGCCCGTCGCGCTCGAATACAACCTCTCGTCCAGGACGAGCATATAACGCTCCTGGTCGGCGGCGGCAGCTTCGTCGGCGGCCATCTCGGCAACCGTTCTCTTTCTAGTCTTTGGTTGCGGCGGCGGCTCGGAATGCTTGGGATGGACCATGGCTTCGAGCAGAGCAATGGTCTCCTCTGCGTTTCTCGTTGGCTCTAGCATGAGCGGCGGCGCCGTGGCCAGTAGAATCTGCCCCTCGGCGGCGTAGATGTTGCTCGCGTCCAGTTCCATCCTCTCTTTCTTAGGGCGTTTTGCGGGGGGGGGCATATTCGACGCCGTTGGTGTCGGAGGTACCAGGGACATGGGTGTCGACGGTTGCGCCGCGGCCGCTGCATCGAAACGCCCATCGCCGAATCCTCTCGGCGTCGCGGCCTTGATGCGCAAGTCTGCTTGCAGGCTTTCTTGAGTGGGATGCAATACTACCGTGGTTATCTTCGGTCTCGAGGCGACCTTGGGCTTGGAACCGGGTTCGGTGGGCGCCGAAGCGGGCACGTTTCCCCGGTCCTTTTGACACTCCTCCTTTTCTTTTGCGCCAGGCTCCTTTCGGGGGGTTCCATCGACGGCGCTGTGGTCTTCCTTTGGGAAGGGGACGAAAGGCGACGGCGTGAGGCACTGGTTGTAGTTGTGGACCGACGACGGCAAAACGGTGCTCGTTGAAGCTGGGGAGGATTTTGCGACATCCTTGGTCTGGACCAGCGACTTGTGGTCAAGGACTTGGACAATCAGGCGACCGTCGTAGAATTGCACGCCGGCCTGGTTGAAGTGGTCCAAGAGGTCGTGGGGAACGGTGCGCGCTCGCAAGTGTTCGAGAAATACACGCATCGGGGACTTGTAGGGAAACATGCCGTCTTGGCCGTCGAAGCGAAAATGGGTCGGGTGCAGGTGGAGGACCAGCGACGGGGGGCGACCGGCATACTTTTTCAGGATATATGCGTCGGGGACAACTGAAGCTCATGTTAGTCCTGACGTCGCGAGGTCCCACGATGCCCGACGCCCCGGGACAAGGTAGAAGGGGTCAAGAGTATAGAATGTACCGTATGGTAGAGGCTCCGAGTACTGGGGGGGGATGTCTGCGGAGAAGGAGGCGGCACGGATACCGGCGCTGTTTCTCGAGATTCTGCCTTGCGCCTGGGAAGAGGCCTCGCGACGGGCTCTGTTGACGGGACGGACGGTCGAGGCGGTGATGGTGCGGTCGCCGGCCGAGGTGGGCGTGTGCTTTGCGCTGGGGGGCGGCTTCTTGGCGGACATGGACGGAGACGGCGACGACGTCGACGGCATGGCGCCGTTTGTCTGGATGCCCGGCGGGACGGGGCGCTTGGCCTTTGTGGCGCCATTCTGCTGGACGACAGGGCTGCTGGGCGCCATCGTGTGTCGCTAGGGTCGCTGCTCGTGTCCCGCCGCTGGTACCGCTGGATCAGGGCGTGTGAGTGCGGCCCGGGACGCGGTCATGGATGTCGAGCCGCGGCAATGACTGGGCGTTTGGGCGGGATCGGGTGATGCGAGGTTGAAAGGGCCGCGGCAGCAACGCGCTAGTGGGCTGCGGAGACGTCCGAGTGCAGCGGGAGCGAGTACCTGCCTTGGGCCGACAAGCGTGACGGCGGATGGCGGAACAGCTAGAAGCACTCCATTTGGCGACGAATGCAATGCAGCTTCCTGTTGTTTGGGCGCTGAGGAGTTGGGCTGTTTTTCTTGCCCTCGTGGAAGGTTTGTCTGAGGCAAGGGCGGGCATCAGTCGGCCCTGCAGATGCGCCAGGACAGCCGCCCACGGCTACCACCGACCAGGCGGTGCGGTCACGTGACGCATCACTGGGTACCCTTTGCAAGTCGCATTCAAAGCCGACTAGTATTAGCCATGACTGCTGATGTTGAAGCTTGTCGGCCTGTCTTCATGTGTTGCCATTGTGGCTTCGGCGGCCTCCTCGCCCCAACGATCGGCCGTTGCAGGCCGTCAACCAGAAACGATGCTGGACACATCCGACATCTCTCGAGGCGACGCAAGGTAGGCAGGCAGAGCATACGCCAGGCATTATTCCTCGCCTGCACACCGAGATATGTACAACTCGCACGTGTATGATCCGTATGGCCGTGGTATCTAGACTTCCTCCCCATATCCACAATAAAAAGGCTTCTTCATTCTCGCCCCTGGACTCGACGAACCCAGTCGTCGTGCACGCGCATCCCGTCCACCACCACCACGCCACGCCCGCGACCCACTTTTTCAGGCTTCTGCCACCACTTGTCAGCCTTGCCGCTCTTCTCCGCCTCGGATTCGCTGTCGGCGAGGCCTCCAGAGCCGCTCTCGGCGCCGACGACCAAGACGACGTCGTGTCGCAGCCAGGTCTGCAGGTTCGCGACGACGCTGCCATTCTCGCCGCTGAGAGACTCTTGCAGATAGATGATCTCTGGTTGGATGTGGCGGAGAATGTGGCTGTGTCCGGTGGGGGTGGTGAATGGGAGAATCATGGCCTCCTTATCCACCAGGCCGAGTGCCTGCGAGTAGATGGCGCCGAACGCCGCGTTGCCGCTGGACGAGCTCGCGCTGGTCAAGGTTAGCGAGGCGCCAGTGGCAGGCATGTCGGGACGTGTCCTTACAGCGGACTCTTGGAGCCCCCACCGGGACTCTGCACTTGATCGTGTCCAATGTTAGAGAATGACGAACTCAGCGAAGCAGGCGGAAGGTTACTGGTAATAGTATCCAGCGCAGTTTCCTTCAGCTCTGGGGCGTAGATCAAGATGTATAGCTTGATCGCAGACAGGTCATTGTGGCGCGGGATGTGCGATAAGATCGACTGTCCCGCCTGTCAGCAAGTGGCACAAGGCGGCATGTGCGGGCACGGAGAACGTACCGCCACCTCATGGGATCCGCCCACGCTTTGTTGGGGGATCTGGGTGTCGGCAGAGACGACGACTGCGACTGCCCTTCGCCTCTTCTCCCACGCTGGGGGCGCGCGATCCTGCTTGGCGTCCGCCTCTTCGGACCAAGGGTTCTCGGAATAGGCCCTGTCCTCCTCGCGGATGGAGGCCAAGGCCTTGCCGACTACGGCGCCAGCCGCAGCGACGCCAGCCGCGACCGTCTTGCCTGTAGAATCAAAAAACTGCTGAGGGCTCGGCGTGCGCCGCAGCGCCCCCGACATGCGGGCTCCCCAGCCCGATCCAGACACGTCGCTCGGGGCGGGCGCTTCTCTGCGGCTTTGGTCGTCTTGTAGAGGCGGCTTCCCTGAAGGAGCGTCCCGGCTCGAGGCGCCATAAGGTGGGTTGTCGCCGTAGTCGGCATTCTCGTAGTCCAGGCCGGGTTCGACGTGGTCGTTTTCATCGTCGCGGGATTGCCTCCATGCCCAGGCAGCGAGGCCGGCGGTGGCGACGGTGAGCGTCACGGCAAGCGGCACCCAGTGCGTCCACACGCCTCGCCGCGAGGACCCGCGGTCGTATCTGTCGTAGGGCGGCGACATTTACGCGGAGAGGTGATGTCGCATCGCTAGACGGGGCGAGTAAGCTCGGCAGCGAAAGCACACGCCAGAGGTCTAGGGGCAGTCGCGCAGAAATTAATCACCGTCTTGGACAGCGTCGCCGAGCTCGATATCGAGGGGGAATGCAGAGCGAGGAGGCTAGCAGAATTCTGAGGTGGGCGAGCACCGAGCGATATGCCAAGGTCCGGACGTTGTCGTCAACATCAGCAAGGGTGGAGCGCCTGATAGCCGAGCCTCGAGCCCAGCAACGTCGCTCGTTATGCCCAGGCAGGGAACCAGAGAGCGGCGGCATTGAAGATCCGTGCCGAGGGGCTGGGGACCCAAGTGAATTGAGGCCTTGGGCTGCGGGTGTGGCTTGGCGGGAGCCTCAGCCACAGGCCCAGTCCAAGCCCCACACGAGCAATTGGCGGGAGACGACGACAAGTCTTTTGCGAGGCTGTGACTCCGCGCCGACACACGGTTGACCAACGCAGCGAGGCTTCACCCAGCACCTTGTGTTGCACGTGGTCAACAAGTATTGTGGTTCTTCTCAAGCTAGGCCTCGGTTCCGACCAGGCCCTCAATCTCTCTCTCGTCGCCATGCCCCACGCCGTGTCGATGCCCGCAACCGGGCTTCAAGCTCTCATTCTCTGCGGGCCTGGATCATCCTTTCCGACCTTTACGTCCAATCCCGATGAGTGTCCCAAGGCGCTCTTACCAATCGCCAACAGGCCGATGGTGTGGTATCCCATCGACTTTTGCCTTCGCATGGGCACGACAAGTGAGCTGGCCTTTCCTCTTTGGCTTCATGGGTCCTTTTTCTTCTCTCAAGACGGCCAGCTTGACAAGAGCCGTCATCCGAGATGCCTGTCGCGGACCTTGAATGCCATATGAGCTGGATTCATTCATGCTTACTGACGATTTTCAGGCATCACGCTGATATGTCCCCCCTCTGCATCGGAGGCGCTCACCACTGCCTTCAACACAAACCCATTCCTCACCGGCCTGCCTTTGCCACGGCCGGACATCTTGGCCCCGGCTGGTCTTGATCAAAACACCGGCACTGCCGAGATCCTGCGCTTGCCAGAGGTCCGGGAGCTAGTCAAGACAGATTTCATCATTCTACCCTGCGACCTTGTCTGTGAGCTCGCCGGCGAGAAGCTCATCCAAGCTTGGATGGTCAAGGCGGCAAGCCTGACTGACCTTCTCGACTCCTCAAACTTCTCCAACGGCTGGCAATCTCGGCACAGCGGGGGGCTGGGGGTTTGGTACAACACAAAAGCGACGTCGACGGCGGCGGTGCAGGGTGAGGAGACCGACTTCATAGCCACGGCGCCTCTATCCTGGTCGCCGGCCGCGTCGCCAAAAGGCTCCGTCTTTCAGAACCTGTCCAAGCTGGTGTATTCGATTCCAACAGACTCTCTGAATGACATCGTCGAGGAGCGAAAGGCACTGCCGATTCGGCACAGTCTTCTGAAGAGCAATCCTCGGGTGCGCATGTACACAGCTCACAGAGACGCTCATATATACATCTTCCCGCGCTGGATTCTGGACTTCATCGAGGCGAATGACCGCCTGGATAGCATCGGTGAAGACGTCGTTGGTTGGCTAGCCAAGGCAGGATGGCAACGTGGCTTGGCCGAGAAGCTTCACATCGACACATTGTGTCATGGCAGGCCTTCCAAGGACCAAGACGGTTCATCCACGGAGAGCCGATCCTCGCCGCGAGATGGGAGCCCTGTTGGTCGCTTCACGTTCAAGGGGCATACTCTGGTGGCACCTGCCATTGCCGAAGCCCAGCAGACTCAAGCCAAGGATGGCCACTCGACGGGTGCGGCGGAAATCGAGGTGCCTCCCATTCTTGCTTACATCCACACCACCGAGAACCAGGCAAACCCACCTTTGATCCGACGAGTCGATACAGCACAGCTGCTGTTGGCAACGTCCCTCCAGCTTGCCAAGCTTCCGTCTGTTGAGGAGGCCGGCGAGGCGGCCTCGCCCTTTGCCCACGCGAGGAAAATCGCCTACCCTGAAGGAGTGAAGTCGCGCACGACAATCACCAAGCAGGACAGCCTCATCGCGGAAAACGTCACGGTGGAAGAAAAAACATCCATCAAAGAGACAATAGTGGGGGCAAGTTGCCAGATCAAAGAAGGCGCCAAACTCTCCCAGTGCCTTTTGATGGAAGGGGTCGTCGTGGGAAAAGGCTGCAAGCTCAGCAAATGCATCCTGGGTAAACGATGCGTCATCGGCGACGGATCCGTCCTGACGGACTGCGAGGTGCAAGAAAACCTGCTGGTTGAACCACGGAGTGAGTGACGTCCCACTTCCTCGCTCCCCGTTTCCCCTATTTTTCGGCCCGGCAGACGATCCACAGTCCTGTCCAGCGGCACGGTAGCTAACATTTCGGTTGCAGCCGAGGACAAGGACAACAAGCTCATGAGCTCAGAGGGTCTAGAGGCCACCGAGGCCGAGATGGAAGAGGTGCTGCATGAGGTGGATGAGGAGGTTGCCGCAGTTACCCTAGAGGCAACAGTCGCCCTCTAGCTAGCCTGCCCAAGACAAATTGAGACGTCCTCTGGGCGCAGCTGAATCAAGGCCGGCAACAACAGAGACAGTTCTTTCAAGCACCTGGGCAACGTGGCTGGCCCCTGGTCTGGCCGCCGTTATGGTTGAGATTTGGGGCGCAGTCTTGTGAGCTGAATATTGCGTCGCATCCTAGCCGATGCCAGTCGATGGCTTCCCAGTCTGCCGCCTGCTGGGAGGGCCGATGACCTCGTTTTCCCGATCAGCCGTGAGCGACGGCGGTCTGTTCGCCATGTGCCTTGAGTACAGTGTGCCACCGGGACTTCAGGCACTGCTTCAACGGGGTGTGCATCTCGCCTGCAACAACAGGCTCGCCTGGGAAGGCAGAGCGTTGATCCCACTACCATGTGTGCATATGCAGCCAGGCAGATGGCTTGTACGTGGATGCATGTCGCGAAGGGACGTGCGTCCTTTCGAGGCAGGATAGTCTTTCATCTAAAATTACTACTGCACGACCAGAGGGGCCAGCCGAACGCTCATCTGTCCGGCCGCGGGAAGAAAAACTCTTCGAGCGCGGTGACTCGGGTCGTTGTTTTGGTGTTACTTATGTGTATGCCGCGAGCGAGGACTTTTGTCAACCCGTCAGTCAGGCCACCCGGCTGTCACATTTTTCGCAACGGTTCGATATATTGGCCCGTGGAAAGCGTACCATGGTTTGGAAGCCTCTTGACTCGTGTGTTCCACGCAGGTGTTTTCCTCGTGGCTCCGGAAGACAGATAACTGACAGAAATTCCGCGACGAGGGTGGGCGGCCAACGGCGACCCGCCAGAACAAGGAAGTTATGGCGACGGAGGAGGCCATGGGCCTCCGGGCAATCAGAGGCGGCACACGACGCAAGAGATGGCGCTCCTCAGGCCTTGGGGTTCACGACGAGGAGCCGACAGGCTGGGCCGTGGGGGCCGAGATGCCGGCCAATGGGGGCGTGGATATTTGCAAAATAGGACGTGGAAGAAAGGATTGCTTAACTGACGTTGGCATGTACGGAATCACAGTCGGTACATTATTCGCTTGGTTAATAACTTAATAACCCATGCAACTGTGATTGCCGGCCGGGGCTTGAGCTCGGCGCACGGCCGGCGGCCCGGCATTGTGCGTGCAGGCGCCCGCCGCATGTAACGTGGCCGTCTGTCTACCTGGCAAAAAGCTTAGGTGCCTGGAGCCATGGCTGGGTGCCGAGGAGGGGCGCACTGCTGCTTCATGGTAAGGTTGACTGACGCAGGCCAGCCAGCCATTCGTTGGAGCGCCGGCCCAGAAACCCACCGGCCGGGCGTGCGTGCCCGGGCTCGGCTAAATCAAAGGCGGCATTTTGCCTGTGTGCGCGCGTGGGAGATGCTATGCCGGAGCGTTGCACACGTACGTACGTATGCGTGTAACTGTAAAGCATTGTAGAAGCAGGGCCAAGGAGCCAGCGGCGCCATCGTACGAGCTTCGAGCCGTCGCTTTCCCCCCCTGCTGCATCGTATCGACGCCGTCTTCCCTTGACATCCATCCATCGATAGTCGGATACAGAGTGGCGTGGATATATGCTTATACGATGGTTTGACACCGCCAATTCCCCCTCGAGGGGGGGCAATGTTGAGGGAGGAAGTGGACAAAGGGATTCAGAGTAGATTCGTGCCTACCAAGTCCAGGTCTCCCTTGCTTCGTGCGCTTCCTACAGAGTACATACGAGTATGTATGCCAGCGCCAGGATGACACGGGATGTGACATGGGCATGGGAAAGCCAAATCCCATGTCCAGCCAAGGCCTTTGACGGATGCCTTGCATGCTCGTGCCTAGAGTGCATGATACTGTGGGTAGTTGACGAGTGGATAGGCCATGGCAACTCTATCAGCACCGTCTACGAATCGCCTCCATACTGCGGTTGGGAAACTCGATCTCGGCCGGGCGCTTGAGAGGCCGACAGCCGAAGGTGGCCGATCATGTTTTTTCCATCCCACATGCACCCAGGCGCTCTCTGTTCTTGCTCAAGTTCGGGCAGCACCCTGTCTGCTATACCTCGAGTGGAGAGGAAGGGGGTGGCAGGGACAGGGCTATCAAGCTCGCGTTTAGCGACAAGGGGGAGGGGGAGGGGAACCGCGCGATATTATTAATGCCGGAAGTGTCTCCCCTGATGCTATACGAAGATGTGGTATTGTTCCTCGCCATCTTTAGTGCTCGCTTTTGCTTGAGCTGTCGGGTATGCTCTCGGGCCTTGGCCCCTCTCTCTCGGGTGATACACAGTAGTGCGTGCTGAGCTCTTTGGAATGAGCGCATGACGGTGCTTCGTTCGACGGGTATGTAGGTATGGGCAGGGGGCCCCAGAAGAGAGCGCGGTCCTACGGGCTGGGACTCCGCCCTGCACGGCGGAAGCAACATGCCCGCCGGCTGTCATCTGTCAAACTCGTGAACCCTATTAACCCCCCGGGTCTCTGCAGCCCGGTCGCAGCAATCCGACCAGGCGGAGCGATAGGCGTACATATAGAGGCATACGAACGGACATGTTTCCTCAGATGGACCCGTGAGCGCGGAAGCTTTGTGCAGAATGGTGCTTTCCGAGAGGGCAACGGGAGCGCTTGGAGGATATCATAGTTCACATGAAACAATACTATGGATTCCAAATTTGTCTTTTCCGTCTTTAAAGTTGCGTGACGGTGGTGGTGGTTGACTCTTGTTGTTGTTGTTGTTGTTGTGTATTTTGCGTCCAGCGGCTCAGGCCGCTCAGGTCTCCGCGAGGGAGCACAGGACGTGCTGAGCTAGTTACAGAGAAGTGTCCCGAATGAGTTCCCTCGAAAAAACCACTGTCCATCTAAATGCACCCAGCGCTCTGGTTGACTCTTGGTTGTTGTTGTTGTTGTTGTTGTGTATTTTGCGTCCAGCGGCTCAGGCCGCTCAGGTCTCCGCGAGGGAGCACAGGACGTGCTGAGCTAGTTACAGAGAAGTGTCCCGAATGAGTTCCCTCGAAAAAAACCACTGTCCATCTAAATGCACCCAGCGCTCGTAGTTCGCTACCCGTGAACAACCCCTTCTGTCCCTATCCAGCATTTCATCGGCTCGATGGCGCTCGTGTCAAGCCTCGTACCCGTCAGCGGGATGTCAAGGCAAAGTGTCGGGTGGTCGCAGCCACAAAGAATTGGTCAACCCTTGGTTTTGTCCGGTCAGAATTCTCTCGCTCGCAGCCAAAACTGCTGCCGCAGTCCACGCTCCAGTAACCAAGCCGTGGAAATGACTGGGGAGCGGCGGCAGGGAAAAACTCTTGGAGGGGATCAGAGGCTGGCTTTGCAGCTTGCCCTCAGGGAGAAAACCTCCGCAACCGGCCACCGTTGTTTAGAAGGGCGGGCCTTCCAATACCCATAGCTCCTTGGTTCCGAAGAGAGCCATGAGGTCCGAGTGGACATGTTGTCGAGACCGGCTTCGCAGAGGAATATGAACTCTCCTAAGGTCTTCCTCTGTGCTGTTAGGGTCACGATGGACCCCGCAGCAAAAGCGCGGTCGGGTGGCCTGTAGATCCTGTCCCGGCTAACGAGCCACTAACAGCTCCGCGGGGTGAAGAATTTTTACAGGGGAGAGTTGTGGTTGACTCTTGGTGCCGCACAAAAAGCATGTATAGGGTATGCGTCGATACTTGGCCCGAGAAGCCACGAGGCGCCCAGGTCCAGGGTTCCGGCTGAGGAGGGCATATAACGCACAACGGGGCAGCTATACTTCGGGATCGCCGTCTGGTGGGACAAGTTCTTGAAAGGATTTTCACTGCTAAAGCCATCCTGCATAGGCCGGGGCATGGGTCGAACGCATATGCATGTATTTTTTAAACCAATTATCTATTCCTTGGTCTTGTCCGCTGGAGGCAAAATTCCCTCAGCCGAGGCCTTTGCTCCCAGGACACACAGACGGCACTCTGCCATAATTGATCTTTGCTTCGCACGGACACCGTGGCTGTACATGCCGCTATACGAGTCGTGCGAGTGCAGCATGGACCCAATGACCGGCGGTTCCCCAAAGCAGCTCGCTCGCCTGCTATACTTTGGACTGCGCATGGTCGCTGGGGAAGCATGCACTGCATGCGTGTATCACGGAGGCGAGGGACAAAAAGACAGAGAGAGGGAGTATCAGAAAGGCAGGTATGGACGGCTCCGCAACGGTGCTTGGTGAAACCATGGCCACGCGATCGAACTGTTTATAGAGTTGCACGCGGGCGATTCCTGATACCAAGGGTACGATGGATTGATCAACCAAGAAAGTAAAGCACAGAGCTGGAGCCCTCTTCTGTCTCGCCAACGCCATACTGTATACTGCAGTCATGCAGTTTAACAGCACACGTGCCTCTTGACTGCATGCATGAGTCGGCTCTATTCTGGCCGTCTGCAAGTCTTGCTGTCATTGGCCGAAGCTCTCTTGTCGTCCGAGTTGGTTATACAGAGTAAGCTTCTAATAATCCCTGCCCGACCGTTTCTCATACCCTGCCGCCATTTCCATGGCGCTATGCCAGGGAGCGTAGTGTAAGGGGAAGCAAAACACCGAAGACAAAACATGCCAAAGTAGAATAAACTCCACGATGGCCAGCCTTGCCGGCACCCCCTCCCCCCCCCTCCCCCACCTGTTGACTCTGCCACATCGCATTCTCTTGGCGAGTATCAACATGTTCGCCGCAAGTCCGCCATATCGCGGGAGTAGGGGATCCGGTGCCCCCGGTGACGAGCTGGGCAAGAATTGCTGCTACCCCGCCCGCGGTGGGTAATGGTAATGGCCGAAAGACCTCGAGCCGTATCATATTTTGTGTCCCTTGTTCGTCTTCCGGCAAGGGGCCAGTCCCATGTCCGGTCTGTATGAACTGAGATGGCCATAGGCCAAGCCGACGGCGTCCATTTGTTCCAAAATTGACGCACGGCAAGCGCGCAACGGGGAGAAGCAGCGGCAGTCGAGTGGCCGAGCATGCATCTAGATACTGGAAGTCGCAGGATGGGACCCAAGAGGGACAAGCA